GAAGTTATTTGATCGTTTAAAGAGATTTCAGATAAAAAAAGAGTTTAAATCTTAATATTCACTTAAAGGAAAATGTGTTTACTTCATAAACGAAGTGTCAGAAACAAATGAAATCATCGGAAGACATTTAAACATTTAAACCACGTCACATAAAACTAGAAACTGTTTTTAAAGATTAATTTAACAACCACGAACATTTGGCTCTTTTTTTACATTTAACTTGTTTTTCCTCAAAATATTCAATTACAACAGATATTTTGAAAAGTGTTGCGTAAGAACAAATGTGTAAAACCTAAAGTGTAAAAACAAATATTTAAATCATTTTAATGATTAGCAGAAATTCAAAATTATTCAAAATTATTGTTTTTCTGTCCGATGAAAAAATGGAGCTCACGACAGAACGTGTCATTTTAACACGACTCTCATTCTCTACCGTGAAGAACTGATGAATAAATAAATGATAAAGAACATTATTAAACTTGGATCTCCCTCCTCCACCTCCTCCCCCACCTCCTCCTCGGCTCCTGTACCTGTCTGCGCTGCGGCCTGCACCGGCTCCGAGCTGCTCCACCTCAGCTCCAGCTCCTCTGAACTCGGCGGGGTCCCCTGGTTCCCCTCGCCGGCCCCAGAGAGGCCGATGCCGGGCAGCACCCTGAGGGACTCCGGGATGAGGCTCTCCAGACTCTCGTTGGCCTGCTGCCTGCGGAGCGCCACCTGCGCCGCCATGACGCGCTGGCGCTCGATGATGAGGATGCACTTCTCGCAGGTGCAGTCCTTGAAGCGGCAGTAGCGCTTGTGACCTTTGAGCCAGGACAGGACGCCGTGGTTCCGGCACCGCGCGCACTTGGGGGTCCTCTGGAGCGGAGCCCGGGGCTGGGACACCGGAGCCCCCATGTACAGGTACGGAGAGCCGTATCCATTCATCCTGTCCGAGGGTTCTCCAGGACGCACAAGTGCATGTGCGCGGAGGCGAGGCGCGGACGGGAGTGTTGTTGTCACGCACACGCAGCTGAGGAGGAGACGTGTTGGCTGCAGCCGGAGGATCTGACAGATACGCGTCAGCCTGACACGCACTTATGGAGACGAGTAACCAAACGCTGCTACTCGCGTCAACGCGCCCGCACGCTCCAAAAAAACCGTCCACGTGAGGCAGAGGAGGAGAAACAGAAGCTGCTGAGGATCAGATCCACACCCAGCTTCCATGAGGTTTAAAACCAGATCAGCTTCCATGAGGTTTAAAATCAGATCAGCTTCC